CCCCCCCCTTTCAAGTTCTCGACACCGTTCCTCCCTTAGTAGAATTTAGAAGGATAAACACAGTGGCGGATCCTGGTTGTCCCTCCCCATACCTCTATCAATTGATTGTTTATTGCTAGAATTTAGTTTATTATAAGTTTGGACCCCTCTCAATATTAAGTTTAGCATAGTATACGTTAGGACCACCCCCCTCCCTGGAGAATTAAAACTACTAGACTGGGAATAAAGATGAATGTTTACCTTGCGAGCTTCCTAAAAACATAACTAGGCAGTATGAAACTAGCGCGTGCGTCTGTCTATAAACCCGTATCAGGGCGCTATCTAATTAGATAGTACCTTCACTCTTTAACGTAGAATCTTCACTCTTCAAGTGAACGTCATATTCTTGATTAATTGTGTCCCTGAGAGTGTTTATTTTACATGCAAAAACAAGCAGCCATTTTATATATATATTTTAATATAGTAGTTATTGTGAGACTTTTCGCGCGCGTGCTCCCTTGCCTCGTAATATGACAATCAGCGAGCGCAAAATCTCAATAAAATATTTCATAATCTTTGTCGGTCACTCTGATCAAATTGAAAGCCAAATTTCTTCCTTCCTGCTTGAACCAAAAGTATTTGTGTGTGTCTATTTATCCATGTTTTCTTTCATTTAGAAACTCCAAGAAATTAGTATTGTTGCAGACGAAATTCAGCTGATATCGTTTATTATCGCATCTATTTTTTGTCAGCGAACAATTTCCAATTTCGAGCTAAAGTAAATGCTGCGCCCTTAATTACAACCAAGATGAGATCTCATTGACGTTTCTAACAGTTAATCCTTTCCAGACATGTCAAACAGCGTCCCAATCTAATGAAATTTCCTTGGTGCTTGTCTAACAAAAGCCTCCACTTCGTCGTTTAATTGCATCTCTCTCTCTTCCTGTTCTAGGAGTCAATAAATCTTAGCTAGACTAATCAACCTGCCGCTGATAGATTCAATTTCCCCAGCTTGTGTGTGTTGGACAAGTGCCTTTGTTGTCTGTGAATTCGTTTTTTGTTTTTAACAATTTTAATACTGTATTCATGCGTCATAAGACAATCATTAGACTAATATCTGAAGTAGGGTTTGCAATTATGCTGTTATAATGCAGGGTTTTGCTATAACGTCTGCTTTGCGCCAATCAGAAATTCCTAGTTTGAACTTCAAATCAAGTGTCATTTCCTTTAGTATTACCTCTTTCTTTGACAGGAAAAAAGTACACCTTCACAAAATATTTCGATATAAATATAGTTTTACTTTGCATTGGCCGTACTTTCAAAGTGCGGCGAAAGATACTAGTGTTTTTTTCGTCGTGGTTTTTAATTTTTTCAAGGGAGGAAGCAAGCGGGAGTCTACCGGGTCAAGGACTGAATAAGAGAAGACGAATGCTCTTCATAATACTTTTATTCCTTAGCACAAATCTTGACAAATTAATAAGCATTATAATAAATATCCAGCTCGCGTTTAATATTATTAGAGTGAAGGCATTTAACTCGTGAAACAAAAAATACTAGTCAAGGTGTAATAGTCAAATAGACACAAAAGGAAACAATGGAATTAGGGTCTACTAAAGTGTATTAGTGTAATATCTATTTCATGGGTTTAGTGACTTCACTCTAATGAACCATCAATAATTCAAATAAAAATATTTCTTAAAAATAGATACTAGATGGCCACTATAGTTGTTTCATAGAAGTATGATTGATAAAGATCGATAATAAGCATGTATATACATCTATAATTTTCATTTAGTTATAATGATGCGCTTTTTGATACTCTTTAAAGATTATTGTCTTTCCTAAACTTATTTAGCCTTATTTTATATACTCAGAAAAACCTCCAAGTAAAAACAGAATTCTAACCCTAAATCTTACAAGAGAGCATGATAGCCAGTGGGGGTTAACACCCCCATCTTGCATCGCACATCCTAAAAAATGATTAAAATAAAGCAATAGAAAATGAAGCGGTAAAACTTTAAAAGGGGTGTGGCCAGGGGGAGGGGAACGGAACATCTACTATCACCCCTCCCCCAGGTTTTGAAGAATATGAGAAACTACTAATATATTAATCTCGCAAGCCATGTTTTCTTGGCGTTTATTTTCTAGATAAATGTATTCCTATGTTTTCGTAATTACTATCATCATCATTATTTTTATTTTATTTTAATTTTTATAATATCAATCTCAAAATCCTTACTTATCAAGATATTATTATTATTATTATTATTATTATTATTATTATTAGAATATTTGCTGTTTTCGTTAGCCAAATTCATCTTCTTAGTGGATCAGAAGATAATCATATTTCCCCCGACACAAACGGTAATTTTTCCAGAGGATACAGTCGTTTTGCAAGACTAAAAACTAACGATTCTTCTTAGAGATGATTAATGCATGAGGAAAAGAGATTTTATCCACTTAGCGACACTTTAATATAACCACTTTTAGGAGGCTTAGCAAAGGAAGGAAAAATTTACTAGGTGGTAGATTGTTAATGATATTTAAGTATCTTGCCTAAAGCCAGGAGGCATAAAAGAAGACCACATATGTTTCTAGCACTTAATATGGTTTGATTATCAGGTCTTAGTATAAGAGTTTTTTGGCCTTCTCTTCGGAATGATCCTGGTAGATATACGATTACTACTTGTGGAATTGAAATGTTGCAGAGGGAACTTACTACAGCAAAAATGAAAATAAATAAAATAAATAAAAATAGGAAGACAGAAATCTTATAATGTTCAATATAAGAATATTGCGATAATATTTTATGCCGAATAGGATGAATTTTCGAGATATCTGCTTCAATTAGTCCCATATTTAKCTCACTTAGTTGACCACATAAAAATAAATAAATATACAATAAAAGGGCCTGTCACTACATTCCAATCATCAACAAGCTCTGAAACTACTTAATGCTTTTCAAGATCTTAAGTAAAACATTTCTATCGTAATTYTTCTTCCAATTAACTCTTTTTAACAGATGTGTGTGTGCAACTGAAACCATTATGGGCCGTAATTCGAAGTAGATAATTTTGATAAATTGGACAGTTTTTTTAGTGAACAAATGGAATCTTATCTTTTTTGTGAGAAGTTTGAAATATTTCTTTAAGGAGCGTTCATAATTTATGGGGAGGGGTTTGGAGGAGGCTGTTGGGATTTGGGTCAAAGCCAAAGATACTTAGCGTTTACTAACTGAAAACCTCGGTGTCGTTTCTAGTTTGGGGGTCACTGAAAAATATCAGTTATGTTCTTGGGGCGGGCAAATCAAAATGTAAAATCATCATAGCCCCCTATCTCATAAATTATGAACATTCCCTGTGGCTCAATTACGAAAAAGCTTTCAAAAAATCGTTTTGTGTGTGTGTGTGTGTGTGTGCATCATTTTGGTCCTGTTTCCTGCAGAAATTATTACTGAGTCAAAATATGGCCGTCCAATGCTAAATATTTAGAAAGGCTAAATTAATAAAAAGGTTACTGCACAACAGGCTGTCGGGAACGCGGCAATTATAAGGTGTAAAAGAAGATGAAAAATATATTTGAAACAACAAAAACTCAGTATGAATAAACGAAAAGAACAAGTACAAAAAAAAAAAAAATAGCTTGAAGAAAAATCTTTTACTGAAACGGAAATTTTGTTTCAAAATATACGACTCGATAATGACAACTGCTTATAAAGGGTAATCGTAAAAAAGGTTCGACTACTGTGGGATTTGCCGCGCGAATTACGCGCGCGAAAAAAGCTACCTTCAATTATGCGATTTGCGTTTGTTTTTCACCGTAAAAAACAAACTAAATCCATTTTGCTTATTAGACCTCTTCTTTCTTTTTAGCTCSAAGATACTTGGAAAAAAAATTGCGCTAGTAAATATAGAAGTAAGTCATGAGCAATGATTAATACCATTTATCCTGTTGCTATTTCTTTCTTTCTGCTCAGTTCCTGCATCATYAAGAAAGTCAGGCGCCCATCTTTCTGATTTGACAGACACTGCCTAGTCTGTGTTACCAATGTGTACTTCAACGCCTTCCTATAAGCAGGCAACCTCCAAGCGTAAATAAAGGGATCCAACGCGACCTTTAGAAATAACATCATATCGCTGATCCGAAGAAGAATGTGTATATCAATGTCAGCTTTGTAAGATCGATCCTTATGGTAAAAATATACGTACAACACAACAGAGTGAGTAGTCGCTGATRCCAGTAGAATCCCCGCCAAATAGAAAGTCACTATAGTGAATTGGCGTTCGTTCTGTCGATTTTTGTCCTTGGTGCTTCCTTTGCGTTGGCCATCGTTTTTAGCATAAAAACTCCTTCTACGCCACGTATATCTTCGACTTAAGTGACGCCGAAACGAGAAAAAAAGCAACGAATGGATAATAGCAAGTAACAGAGAAATCAAAGAGGCGTGTAAAATTAAGTCGATTTGTAAATATGTGTACATATTGATCCCAGAAAATTGTAGTAGGCTGAACACAATGAAATAGAGCCAGCTTAAAACCACGATCCATATAACGCGGTACTTAGTGACAACCTTTTTGTATTTATGCGGAAAAGTCACGGCTATGTACTGCGAGATCGATAAAGCGAGTACAACCATGAATGAAGAACTGATTGCTATTGTAGAAATAATCCCCCCAACACGATAAAGAGCTCGAAAAATATCCGGTGTCTTGCAGGCCATTTGCCATCCACACTGCTTGTACTGTACTATGTACCTCATGATAAAAAATGGTTCCACAAGTAACCCAGTGAATAGGTCTGATAAAGCGAGTCCTACAATGAAATAGGTCGTAGGAGTCCTGAAACAGCGTAGAGGATCTTTGTAGATAGCCGTTAAAAGAAGAGAATTAGCTGCTACAGTTATAGGACTTAGTACAACTAAGATTACCGCCGATGCCAGCTGGACACGAATGTAATTTTTATAAGTTTCGTCACTGTCTGTGTAGTTGGCCATAACTCCAGCAGCAGTTTCATTCATCCTTAATGTTTGATTGACYATCGTACACTGAAATCCCAAATACAAATAAACAAAGGTTCACTTTTTTTCTTCAATATTAGCTTCAAAATGTAATCTTTGTTCAGTCGGTTTCACCTGCCGGTTGTCATCAGATTCCCCCAAAAACGCATCCGAAAAGCGAGACTTCTTTTTTTTTAGTTCGAAGTCAAACRGGATTTTAGTTCCGGACCGAAATATTAACCCTTTTGGCTCTCGGCAGACGTAGACTGAATATCCTCACTCAGCTTTCAGGGGGTTTTATATTCAGTACTAGTGGGTTTCTGTCGTCAACTTATAATAATAGGATTGCCCTTGAAAGCCTATCTAATTTTGTTATCAAGTTTATCGTCTCCTTAGTAACGACTAGTATTCTATTACAAGCAGCAGTAAGGGGGACTCGCGGTCGATGTCGAAGATTTACGGGTTTTACGGGCGTTTTGAGGAACGGTCCGGCACGGGAAATACCCGTGTTCCATTGTACGTTGCTGCTATGTTGGGAATATTTGTCTTATATATGCATGAATGTAAAAAGTTCACCAATGATTTCTGTGTGATTTGTCTAAGATTCAAAGTTAACATACCCAAGCCCAAGGGTTTCTGGTGTTGTGGTTAGAAGAGTGTATCGTTTGTCCGCGCCATGGGCAACAACGGCAATGCTGGACGCATTTGCGGTAGGAAAGTTTCGAAACGAGGGCTACGTGCATACGGCGGTCCCAGGGGAAGAAGTGCTGTTGGAGTGGCAGAACAACATAGCCAGCATCTTCGTACCAGAAGGCCCTGGTTTGGACACCTACCACGAATTGGTGGGAAAAATAGACTACGCGATACCCAAGAATCCCCAGCGGCTACTAGAAGTGGGGGCGCCGCCGAACAAAGAATGCGTGCAGGCGCTGCGCATGCAGCCGGGCGAATACCAATGCTGGCGCTACGCAAAAACCACCTACAGGGGAAAAGAAAGGACCATTCTATTTCTGTCCCCCCGATGCTCCGAGTGCGTATTGGAGGGCTGCACGGCGGAGCACGCAACCACGCCCGTCTGGGGACACTTCCTGCAGGCGCAAAAAATAGACTGGGCGCAACCGCCGCCACTATATTGCAAAATAGGCAGGGAAAAGACCACTGCCAACAAAAGAAAGGACAGAATAGTGCACGTCTCCGCAAAGGGTGTCGATCTGGCAGACACCCTTTCTACTCCATCTCCGGAAGTCTAGAAGGCTTTGGTAGCTGTCTAGGCGCCGGGCGTTCGTAGTAGAYAACCTTTTCCACTGGTTGCTGMGTACGCRCCCAAARCAAGGCACCAATGCCCAAGACGGCGAATAGCACATTGCCGGCTATTTGCCAGTCTATTTTTGTGGATATTTCCTCCACTTCGTCTTCTAGGTCGTCGCTAGACTCGTCTTCTAGGTCGCTTTCCTCCGCTTGGTTGGCCAGGAACTCTTCGCGAAGTTTCTGTAGGTCGTCCAGCAATTCTCCTTTCGTAGCTCGGAGTTCGTCCAAAACGATAGCAAAAGAATCCTGCACTTCCAGAAAATGCTTTTGCAGGTCTGTAGTAGGTGGTTTTTCGGGTATTGCTACCTCCAGACCATTCTCTCGCTCTATCCTGCGTATCTTGGGAATACCCACACCATACTTTTTGGCTACCTTTTGCAGCCCTACTCCATTTCGTCGATCTTCCAACAATCCTGCGATTTCCTCCTCGGATAGTATCTTGGGTGTTGCCATATACATATGTAGACAGGGTTTGGGCACGTGGATCCATAGGGGGTATTCCATGGATCCATAGGATATAGACATGTATTTGTACATAGCCATAGGCATAGCCGGCTACATGTTGGGAAAACAACGCACAATAGAAATCCTTTTGGACGTCCTAGGAGGCTTGTACAGAGCACAGGAGACAATAGGCAACGCACGCATTCCGGGCTACGTAGCGGCACCATTGCGCATAGCCCTTCGACGGTAGGCGTGTGCAAACCCTACTTTTGGAACGCAATGCACTCTTCTATTTTGGGAAGCGTCGCAAACCACGACACACAAACCAGACATCTTTTGGAACATGGATCCACATCTTTTGGGACACAAAAAAAGGTAGTCGAAACATGGTTGTCGAGGCGCGGACAAACGATACACTCTTCTAAACGTTGTGAAGGCAAAGTCCGCATCCAGGCGATCCAACACCTGAGTTCGCAGTCGGCGCACAGTTTTGTTACGAATGCTTGTGATGGTGTCCATCTATATCTAAGGAATATCTTAACCCCCATTTGCGATATCTTTGATTCCCAACACAGCAGCAGTAAGGGACTTGTCGCGCGGGTATTTCCCGTGCCGGACCGTTCCTCAAAACGCCCGTAAAACCCGTAAATCTTCGACATCGACCGCGAGTCCCCCTTACTGCTGCTATTACACGTCCAGTTAAATGTCCAAATTCTCGGCTGTCCGGTACAGAATTCATCATGTAAACCYATAGAACTACATGATAGAATTGATGTCAACAACTCCATTTAAGTCGGCAATAATAATTCAAACTCATACTATACGTACCCGGTAAACATCTTTGATTCTGTTGATCTCAAAGCGATGATTTCCAGGTCAAAAGGGGGCTGCTCTTTTAATCCGACTATTTTAAGCTGGTGATGGAGGGTTAAGTGATTATTTTTTTCGTCCTTTTATTCTGTCATCTAAGAGAAAAGATCAACAAATGACATGTTGAAACAGAAACTACGCTCAAAAACGTCCAACTTCAACAAACATAACACCATCAACACTTCACTTCTACATTGTTTAAATTTGAATCCGCTTTACTAAAAGCTAAAGCCGTTCAAAGACTAGTATAGTCTATAGTCTTCTATTGTATAATTTATCATATTTGGGCCAATTTATAAAACAGTCTAGGATGAAAAAACCCATATTTTCTAAAACAATAGATTGTACGTCCGTCTTCGGATATGGGTTTTAATTTGCCCCGATAAATCTAAAACAATACATATTAAAATCTACATCCGATATAGGAAATAATATCAAAAATATCAAAAGTTCTTAGATTTCGACTCAAATCACGTTCAATTGATACTCACGACATTAAGAATAATAAACCATTTTCGCACGAGAAATCTTCGTAAAGCGAAGTATCATTTGTTGGGTTTTAGGCCTGACTAATGACGCAACTCGGAATGAATGGTACTATTAACTAGACAAGTACCTCCCTACGCCACCCCCTGTTAGTACAGCTGGCTTTTGACATGAGTGATTCCAATTCAATATTTACGACTGATTTTTTTAAAGAGATATYTTACGCTTTAACTCAAACCATCATTAATTGTCAAATATCTTGATAGTAAAACCCTCTTTTTTAGGGTTTGGCGCGCAATCTTTCATATTTTCAGCGCGCTCGTTACAAAATCGGGAGGGAATTGATAATAATTCTCAAAAAACGTGACAAAGTCATCAAGTATTTTCTCTTAAATAAGCCTTACAGCAGTAAATGAGATAAAGATCATGCATGTAGTTGGTTTTTTCGGCATCTAAATCTTATATTACATCAAAATATGATTCTGGTGTCAGCGAAAACGTATAATGGGTTTGGATTTGATAGTACTAACTACAACGGTGTTCGCTAGTGCAAGGGCCACGAGATACTATCATAACGAACGTAGGGCTAGTGAACACAAAATCAGTACAGTGAAGTTCGGTTCTTGCTCGCCATTCGTCGGCGCCTTTTGATTCTCAAGTACAAACGTACTATGATTGAATCAAAACTGTTTCTTAATCTGTACAAAAATTTCTATATTTGTCGTTAAATTAGTAAGTTTCCTTTGATAAAACCGCCGCGAACGAACTACTCCCGCGAGGAACCGATCTTTAAGAGGATTTTCAAAATTAAGCATTATGTCAACTCAGTTCTTTAATTAAGTAATCACTACTACTTTAAAAGGTTTCTTAAAGCATTCCGCACACGTAAAAAGATATTAAGAAATTAACGAAAATGTCGATTAGCTGGCTTAACTCACAAAGAAAATTCTAAAAATGCCATAGAATATAAACTATTTTAACTAAATTATTGTATCTTTATTCGGTTTTGTTTCTATTATTATATTGTTGGTTTTTGGTCACGTCTTTTGGTGTCTATTAGTGAACAGCTACTATCGTGTAGCTTCTGGAACACCTAATCTTTGTTGATTTAGTTTTTCGCTCTTCAAAATATTTCGACTTCAGAGGCGGCTGACAAATTTTCGACTAGCCGGGTTTATTTTTCTGCCCAAAAAGGAGGAAAAAAAGGCTGGAAGCGTTTTATACATCAAGTCGCCAAAGCCCAAGATAAGGTATTGGATCAGTATTACTATGAGTAACAAGCCTAATTGGTAGTGTTGTAGCCACGGGCATACTATAAGCATCCTTGATGCGTATGTTGATGATGCCCTGGATCTGACAAAYACAGATCAATGCCGTTAGGATATTGAAGTGTTTTGTAATCACTATGTCATCGGTCCAATATGTTGAGTCCGCTGCTGATTGGTGGAAAAAGAGTGCGGATTTATTAGAGTTGGACTGTTACCTGATGATGTTGTGCAAGATAGGAGAAGGGAAGGGATGAGGAGAGGAGAGGAGAGGAGAGGAGAGGAGAGGAGAGGAAAACACCTAAAGGGGATAATGAAGGAAGACCAAGAAAATATTAAAAAATGATAGGACAGAAGAATAATTACCATAGCCGGAAAGAGCATGTTAAAATTAGTCAAACTGCGAAGTTTGACGGGAGTACGTTGACAAATCACGACGATATGAAACTTAAAAAATCGAAGTTTTGTCTCGCACACACCATTGGAGACATCTCGTCTTCAGCAAAGGTTTTCTTACAAAGTTTAGACAAAAATCATATCTTCGCGAGTTTTGAACTTACTTTCTTTACACTTTTAACAGATAAAAGCTTAGTATTGCACCACACGTGATTTGTCAATACACATAAAGAAATCATATACACAGATGATCTATCTAGTTATGTCACGTACTGCAAAAGATATTCGTTTAGTAAGCAACAGGAAATGTACTTTTTGTCGCAAATATCTAGCCAGATGACCTTCACTCAATATTTTAGAATTTATTTTGCAATATTGAATGCAAAATGTAATGCACTGATGCATATATATTCTTCTATAGAGTGATTCCAATATTTTTYGCTGTTAAAATATTTCTGTAAAGTTTTCATAATTTATGAATTCGGTTCTGACATCTATCTCAAATCCAGCAATACAGGGTTTTTTTTCGTGCTAAATAGAAATATAAACAAAGTAAAGTAAAGGGGAAAAAATAAATTAAATAAAATAAAAAAATTAAAAATAAATATAAATAGATAAATAGAAATTTATAATATCCGGTACTGTATTTTACACTGCAGCGGTACGAAGACTAGTACGCGCGCGGCTAGTACATTTGTCGTGTTGAATCAATGCCGTTGGCGATCAATATTATTGTCGACCTGCACAAAGGATAAGATGTTTTCCTCCAAGCACGTATATAACAGCTCTGTTGAAAATGGCAAGCATAAACATCTTCAGTTAAGGCGCATTTCATATGCCTAGGGGCAGAATAACACAAACCCTTTTGCTGTCGAACTGGTTTCTTTTTCATAGTAACCGTTTTATTTCGAATTCTTGTAGCGGATTAGAAGAACTGTACGAAAACAATAGAAGGCCATTACCGTGTACGTGTTGTTGTAGGTCATTTTACATTCCACATTCACTCCAAACCCGATSTAATCATTAGCGAAGGAGGGTTTTACCTGTAAAGTCTTTAACTTGAAACTTCTCTGCTCGTTCGCCCAATGTACTACAAACGAAGTCTTCGTCAGTCAGTATTTGTTAAAATGAGTATTGGTATATGTTACAATTAGTATTGGTATTTGTCGGTTGAGAGCGAAAGGAAACGAAGATAAAAGTGCAAGGAATTTACTCGACCTAAATGCATTATGGATAGTCATAAATACAGATCAAAACTTGGCAAATACGAAACTACTAATGTTATGAGCTAGCGGCAATATACGCCACGGRGAAAACCATTGTCGTTTGCTGCGTTACTCGAATGAGAGGGAAAAGATACGGCAGGTTTTTACTCATTAAATCTATCGCCGGTTATAAACTTGCATCTTTGATTTCAGGGAATCAAGTGTGATGYAGGGGTAGTGCACTCGCCTGTCGCTTTTAGGGTCTCGGCTTCCATTTTTGGACTCGGCATCACGTGATATAGGTAAGTCTTACGAGGTTCGATAAAATCGATTTTTAGCTAATCCTCGATATTTTCAAGATCAAAAGCTTTACCTGTTTGTATTCAATATGCTTCTTACGATCACTTGGCATCGCGCTTTTATGTTAACGTTCGTAGCTCAGTTCATTGTTTGGATTGTCTTAATTGAACCAGTCTGAGTTTCTGTTGACGAATTGACAACCGCTGACATGACAGAGAGCCCACGRTGTGGGTTACTATTTTTTTACCTTTTGGTTATTTAACCACGCATTAGAATTCGAGAATTATCGTCCTTTCTTATCCCAGATTAGCTTCATGAAGCTTTGGATAAATTTCATARGCTTCCCCTCAAATCACGAAACAAATGGTTCCGATTTATGGCCTGGTTTAATAGATGAACATGAATGACGTCATGCGCCGTGGAACTTGTAAACATACATGACGCATAAAGGTCTCTTTGATAGACTTTCCCATAATATTTAATTACTAGAAATTGGAATAAGTAAGGTATTGCTACTTGATTTCAATTTCCTTTCCWTTCYTTTCCTTTTATATTATAGAGTATGGTTAATTGGTTAATGGACTATCGTATAAATTAACAAGCGTACATACGCACGAATGAATGAATGAATGAAAGAATACTACAAAGATAGCATGTAGTTATCAAAAATAGTCAGCTATATTTACATATAGTACAGTTTACAGTTTTCATTAGACCTGATGACGTTGTCGAGATGACAGCGTATCGTTGTCTTTTACAACTAGTATTCTTATTAAATTAGATTATCAAAAAGTTATGATGATTTCAAACATTTCTTCACTGAAGTAAAAAGACTTCATAATTATAATACCAGATTGTCCTCTATAAATTCTTTGCAAAAAGCAAGGACAGACTATGCTTTGTTCAATATAAGATTTCAAGGCGCAAAAGTATGAAATTCTCTCTACATTTTTTGTTATATCTTGTGGGTATATGTTTGTAATTTAACAACTATATTGCATTGTTACTTGTAACACGTGACTGCTAGTATTTCCTTTTCTTGATGGTATTATGCAAAAGGGATGTCTGATTGAATTTAGCCCTTATGGTTATTTCAGGCAGCTACTACCTCGAGRCTTTATTTTMTCCTAGTCATATCTAATTAGTAATTGGATGGTACAAATAAACTGTTGTTGTTTGAAAGTAGCAACAAACGAAAGAATGAATTAAATGAAAATGTAATAGAAAAACTGAGAGCAACGCGATTAGTAAAAAATGACCTATTATGTCTTCAAAGACAGCTCTAGTCTCGTTATAAATCATCTTGACGTATAAATACAATCGTGAATACGTACTAGCAGCCCCCTCTTGTCTTACTTTAAAGCCCTTTGACGTCATGCGAATAAGCCAAATGAATTAATACTTACACAAATAGTTGTTGATAAAGCTCTGATGTTTCTCTTAGCCCTTACTCAGACACACAATATTRAAAATTATGCCTTCTAAATATGATTGTGCGTTGATTTCATTTCTCTTTAAAATTAAAAATTCGTCTTGTCCACACCGTACTGATTTAAAATCTTTCTTCTTTTTATTTGTGTATGTGTGTGTGTTTTTTGTTTGTTTGTTTGTTTGTTTGTTTGGTTTGGTTCCAAATAGTAAGTTAATTTTGAAAGGTCTGGGAAAAATCAAATACCCCATTCACATCTAAACGTGTTTAGTTAAACTATGTTTTCATTAGGAAAAAAATTGAGAAACTATAAACCCACAAAATAATGAAACTTTCTAAAATATTGTCAGARCAAGACAAAGGAYAGYTTACATGCATTATTTTACCAAAKATTGTGCAGTGTTCGTAGATAGTTTTCCAAACCTGTTTAGTTAAACCACTTTAAAACATGTTTAAGCCTTGGTGTGAATGGGGTAAAAGATTTTAGATCTCCGTCCGACGTTATTTGAAATAAACGGTACCACAACACAAATATTATCATGCGTCGTTATGATTTTATTCGATAAGAATTCTTAAAATCAATTAGAATATTCTTCTCTTTAAATATAAAACTATCGTCTTACTGAATTTGCGTTTTTCAGCTTTGTGGTCTTTCAAGTTGGATGCGCACGCAACCTTGAGAAAATGGTCTATAGGCAGTGACGGCGGAGCAGTTTTTCGATTGGAACCCCCCCGGTTCCGCCGTCCCTGATAGGTGTATGATAATGCAACGCATTTCTACAACTCCGGGAGGACCGGAAAGGCTATTAGAAACACGGAAAAGCCTTGTAGGAGGTACGAGGGCCTAATCAAATACCCCYCAAACAAATAATTTAAATTTAAAAGCTTTCAAGTCGCGTGATTTTTCAAGTGTTCAATATAGAAGATCTTGAAATACAATAGTATATGACATCAAAATGTATACTTAGGAAGAACTCTTTTATCTTGAGATTATTTAGATGATTTATTGGATTTTCAAAAACAGCAGACGGGCATGAACTAGCTGATGCGTGGATTTGGAGGTTCTATAGGCATAGGAATAACTGTATTCAATTAACATTAGGATTAGTTAGTATCATCGGTTAGTATAGATGTGATCAGGGGGAAAGATGTGACATCAAAGACGAATAAAACACCGTTATTATCTGGTGATAGTCGATAATGAACTGCATGATTGTTGATGCAGCTGATGATGATGATGAAGATCATGATGAAAAAATAATGATTATGGAAAGCGAAGATGATGACGAAAAAGAATAGGATAGGATGGTGATAAGAATGAC